TTAGGGGTTGTTCTGGGGTTGTTCAGTAGTGATTAAACTCATTTTAACATCTCAGAAGTTACGGTAACACGGAACAAATCCTAGGAAGCAAAGGTAGACCGGAGTAGGAGACTCTTCAGAAAGTTGCTATTTTGGTTGGGATGTGAATGATGCAAGTTGCTCATATTTAATTTTCAATTGATTTATGGGATTTGAGGTTTAAATCATGTCACAGTGTTATAAAAAAATAAGTATGTCAGTTATGATAACTCTCCGTTATGCATAGGTAGGAACGGTTGAGAATACTTAAGGAAGTTTGTGTGACGACTTTGTTACAAACAATTCAAGTTGCTTGTTCTTAAACTTAGTAATTGAATTAGGAAGTTTATGTTTAAATCATGAAACAGTGGTATGGGATTAAGCATATCAACAAACATAAGTTCAGTTAATGCTTAATGCAAAATTAGTTGATGTTTACAATGAATTGTTTGTATCAACTTGTGGGATGTTGTGAGATAATTACAGTAAGCATGTTAATTCTGTTACTATTGTTACTATGCTTATTATGGGGTACAGAATGGTATTATTGTTTCTCTGCATCTTAAGTTGTTAGAGAATCAAGTATTGGATGTATTGAACAAGCATGCTAAGTATAGATTCTGGTTATGCCTATGATTGGATATGTTGATATTGACATGTTTTAATGTCATTTATATTAAATTTGGATGGGTGGTATTGTACTTGTTATGGATGGGTTGATATTGAAATGTTTACTGTCATTTATATTATCAACACTGGATGGATGGATGGATGTATGCACCGGTATGGGACGGTGTCATACTAGGGGGATTAGCTCGTAAATGCTAAATCCTACCTACTCTGGATTAAGGAATGGATTAACTAAAAGTTTAATCCTATTTTATTTGTAGTGTCAAGGCAACATATAGTTGAGTGGCACTACTATGGATTTTGGAATGGAATTTAATTATATATTTTATAGTGCCACGTTATGAGCCTGAGTCTCATAGTCGTTGGCTAGGGAGCGTATATGCATTGGGATGCATAGCTGGCTATGATGGTTAGATGTGTACCTTGATAGGTCTGGGTAGTCATGCCCACTACAGGTGCGTTTTGCATGATGCCTACTAGTCAGGTTGAGACGGGCATGTAGTCCAGTGAGAGTCTTGTAGTGTGATTATATATATATATATATCTACGGACTATTAGTTATTATTGAATTGGTTAGAATGTATATGCGTATCAAGTCTCTGTTTAGATTATAGTGGGATAAAACTTGTTCGTGGGCCTGACCCACTTCTATTTTTCAGGTGTTCGATAGTTCCAGTCGTAGACTTGATCGTGCTGAGCAGAGACTGTTACTCACTCTTTTGACTACATAGGATGTTCTTTCTTATTTTAGTTTCAGTTTTTTTTTAATTCTGTAAATTTATTTATCGTTTGGAATTATTAGGGGTCCACTAGGTGGATTCCCGAGTTGTACGGATTTGAAGGAATTAAATAATATTAATTTATTATTTAAAGTTTGAGGATTTTTATTTTAGATTTCCTTCGGCGTATTATTAATTTATTCTTAATTCAGTTTTGTATTCCGTGTTCATTTTACATATTAATTGTTTGATATCCCTCGGATCTGTGCTCGATCTTGATCACCCGTGGCTCTAGAATCGAGGGGTATCACATCCATCTTCATCATCAGTTCATATAATACATACTTGAACAACCCGTGCTCATAGTTCGTCATCATATCACGTATAACATGCTTTCAAATACTTTCACATTTCATTTTCATAGTTGGATCATATAACTACTTCACATGAATGGCCATATAACACAAATTTTAGCATCTAAACACGTAAACACTTAGCAAATAAGCATGACTTCAGAACTGTAAACATATAAGCAAGTAACAAGTAAACATGTTTCTCAAAACAATAAACACTTTAACATGCAACACCTCTAAATCACTCAAGTCCCACTTAAGTCAACCTTACCCGTTGTCCTAAGGTTTTCGAACCTAAAGCTCTGATACCAATTTTATAACGACCCGAACCCGTAGGTTCGAACCGTTAACCGGGTCCTTACCCGAACCTGAGGTCACCTAAGTCCAATTCCATTAAGTCTAGTGTCATTACATCATTTTTAAGTCATAATCATGCTTCATAAAGGTGTTATGCGACTTCCCACAACTTGGGATGAATTTGCCAGAGAAAGGAACAAAATGGGACAAGGCAACACAGTTCGATTGACCGAAGTAGAGCTTCGGTTGGCCGAAGCTAGTCCTTCCAAACCGGTCAGCCGAAGTGGCCAACCGGTAGACCGGTTGTGCTTCCCACAGTAGCTGAGACTATTGGAAGAACCGGTCGTCTGAAATGCCCTTTTCGGTCGACTGAAATGGCTCTTCGAGCTGTGGTTCAGCTGGTGAAATGCTGTGATTAAGAAAATGAAGTGAGGCTTTGGTAGAGACCTTAAAACTGTTCTAAACCGGTTTCATCACACTTTAAAAATGATTTCTTATACTATGATTAAAATCATCGGTGATTTATCACATAGCTACGACCTTTTCGATTCATTTCATATATGAAAACTTAGTCTTCACACTAAATCCAATTTATAACAAAAAACTATCAAAAGTTCAATATTATATTACAAGGCCATATTTTACAACATGTACATCCTAAAATGATACTTTTAGAAAGGAATGGTTTCAAAATACAAAGGGTACAAAACGCTCTTCTAAATCCCCCCATGCTTATGGTAGATTGTCATCCGCTACCTCCATCCCGTGACCTGAAAAATGATAAATAATGGGGTGAGCTAAACGCTCAGTAGGAGGTGCCTAAAACACACCTCTTATCCCCCGTGAATCCACATATGGAATAGAAATCAAGAGAACAGGATCATACTACACCGGGGATATAATCCATAACCACAACGTCAAATATAACCACAAATTGTCATCTAAGCCACAAATATACCATGTATGACAATGAAGTGAATGTCATGCCCATGTCGCTCCCTATTTTAAAACAAAACCGTTTCAACTTCCAAACCGTTAGTGTAATCCGACCCAAGGCGCCTCCATGGTGTCACGAAAGAAAGATTGACTAACTATCAACGACCACAAGGCACCTCCAAGGTATCGTATTCGGCCTAGTTAACTAAACCACACTCCCTTCTAGACTACACTAACATCACGGACCATTAGGCGCCTCCTAGGCGTCCGGTTTTTCTCAAACACTTTTCTAAAATGATTTTCTCAAATTGATTTCATTTGCTTCAAAAACATTTTTTCTCTTATCTTTCTTTCCCAATGGATACATGAATGCTTCACGCTTCTAAACACAATTCAACTATTGAATTTCACACATGTTTTCCATGATAAATTTCAAAATGCGCAATTCATACTTTCATTCAACATTGATTTAACATAGTAATCATACAAGGCACAAATTATATTCCATATAAGCATGCCTATACACAAAAGATCAACTAACACATAGTTACATTTCTCATATATAACATTTAAGCATGTTTTCTCCTCAAATAACAATTAACACATAGTCACATATCACTTATATAACAATTAAGTCACCTTTACAAAAATCCACAAAAATTTAGGCATGCTTTACAACAATTAATGTAAGATAATTCATTAAAAAAAAATGTGAATTAGAAACCCCTACCTCAATGTTGTAGAAAAACCCCCAAATGGGTTCAAATGTTTGAAATCCTATGAGAGGCCAAAAGCTAAAATTGCTTACATAGACTTGAAGATCTCGTCGAGTTCTTCAATTTGCCACAAACGGCACCCAAAAATTCCAAGTAGTTAGAGATTAATTGAAGTTTGAAGTTTGATTGAGAAAAGAAAAGAAAAATGCAAGGAAATAGGTGAGAGAGAGAGAGAGCTAGCCAGGGAGAGAGAAAAATGAGACCAAAAGTGTGGTCTCACTGCCTTAAGTGCACTAATGGTGGGTCCTCCAACATTTTTTACTTTTCTTCATTTATTTTCCACCACACATATATCATACACACACATAACCCACACTAATGCTACTTAAAACACATGAAATAAAATAATTGATATGCAAATGGACCCAACAAAAACCCCGTTTGTAACAATTCCGGTAGTAGGTCCCACATGGGACCTTTCGGCCCGAAAATGAAAAAAAAAATGCCGAAATGGCAACTGGTACATTTCCAATAATCCTGAACTCAAGAAAATGTCCCAACCAACTCTTGGATACACTTGGCATACCCCAAGGTGTCCGGTATACAAAACAAGAAAGGACGAAAACATCCTTGCAAAAACAAAAAATTTCAGAAAAAAGAAAATGACAAAAATCAAAAGCTTCACAATTTATTTCTATTTTGCAATTGATACTGCCATACTCAGACAAGGATATGTTACAGCAAGGCAGTAAGCAGTAAGTAAACTTGCAAATGGCACTACTTAGATAATTACATTTATTTATTTATTTTCCTTCGAAAATTCAAGTTAACATTCACACATTCACAATATTATCTCTAGTAATAGGGCATTCAACTTTTCATTTGAAAGGAGAGATCACTAATGCCCATTGATCATATGATGTGATTTTTCTGTAGTGGTTTTTATCGCTTTGCACATGTTCTACTGGGAAAAAAATTTGTTGTTTGTACAAAGATGTCAGCTAAAAAAGGGAGGATTGAAATGATCACATATTGCAAACTCATTCTCTCAATGTTCTATTACTGTTTCTGGGGAAAAAAGAGAATTAAAAAAACATAATACAACTAGTCAATGATCAATAAATGTGTTAGAAATAAGAGGAAAGGAGAACGGATCATTTACTAGAAGATTGGTCCTTCACCCAGACTTTTGTTCCCCCCAATAAAAAGCTTACAATTATTAAATTGACTATTTTACCCCCAAATACCTGATGGGAATCAGCATTGTTGATCCAAAAAGAGGAAGTTACAGAGGTTTAGCAATGGAGGATGAATGGAGAGAGAAGTGAGGCTTTATGATGAGAGGATTAAATCCCTATTAATGGCCCAACACGGGGGCCTTTTTGGCATTTCATTTCCATCCTACCAACAATCTTTAGAGTTTTGTTGCATTTAATTATCATACAAATGTAGCAGATACACTTGGGAGGAAACTTCATCATTCATAAATGCAATGCACAAGAAAAATATCAAAATAGTGAAAATTAATACTAATTCACCACAGTGGACTTATGGTTGAGCATAATCCATGGGGCCATAAGGCTCAAATAATTCAGCTACAAATCCCTTCTTCCTCTTAGGCTTCCATCCCATGTCCTTGCACAGTTGATCATTGTACCATGTTTGAAGGGCACCAATGCAAGATCTTCGATAGTTCTGGCCAGAGGACTGTTTGAAGTATGCACCCCAATTTTTTACATCTTTCTCCATCTCTTCAATCCCGGGTACATTGAATGTACCATCCAGAAGCTCGGTTACCCATCGACACCTAATCTCCGAGATGGACAAGTTCGAATAACTCTCTGAGAATCCAATTATCGCTAGTTGTGGAATTCGAGGGTGAATGCATTCCCTGATAAAACTAAATTCACATTAATTTCTCCCCACATATAGACGGGTGTGCATGCATACATAATGGACGGTGCTATTCAGACCTGATAGTCTAACCGAGAATCCTAACCGAGGAATTTCTATACATAATACAAGTTATAAGATGCTAACCTGTAGAGTGGTACAGGCATATCAGTATGCCCAGCTATGATGTCCTGATAGGTTGATGACACAAAGATATCTTTGAGTTTTGTTTCACCCCTAAATCCAGTGGCCAATATGACAATATCTGTCTCTAGAGGTTCAGTTTCACCATTTATTAAAATTCCTTCTCTGTAAAAGCTAAAACTACTCATAGCTTTCTTCAGTTCGATGCTTCCTTTTTCAACTTTATCATAGAAGTCCTCGGGCAAGATTGCGAGTGTCCAAGAACTGAAGTCTTTTAAGAAACCGTGTTTTGGCACCATGCCAAACTTCTCAAGCCTGAGCTTTCTTTTTATGTGACTTTCAACAAACTTTGAAAATCCCCATCTCTGTTGAATCAGACATGTATAAATATATACAAAGTTAGCTTCAATATATGTTTTGAGTAGACACGCACACACACACACACACACACATATTTAGACATAATTTTATCCCAACTATTTTGAGTCAGTGATATAAATCATGTTTCACCATTTTACTCCATATAGAGATCACACACATGTTGATGTATATCAGTTCTAATGAAGTTGTAAGTTTCCTAAAAGAGAGGTACCAGAGGTGAAAGAATTGTTGCCAGGAGACTAAGTAGAAACCCTTCACCAGGCTTATGAACCAGAAGTTCTGCAAAGCGATTGAAATAAAGGTATGGTAGGGGAACTCCCCATGCAAGAAAATCGGGCATGTGCCAGTGTTCGGTCCTGTATAAAACTGTGCATGGATGTTCCACCCCTGCAGTTAAAAAAAGGGGGGTATAATGGTAAGTAAAAATTGTAATGCTCGTTATAAGTAAATATATAAACAGTGAAATGAAAATGAGGATTTGGGCTTATATGATAACATTGCCTTGCTCAAATGATGAAAATGAAGTATTTCTAAGAATTGGAGAGTAAACTCAACTCTCCTGCAAGGGGAAGTGGATTCCCTTCTGCTTGGACGGTCTCATGCACCAAACAACGTAGTTTTAGTGCACAGCTCGTGAAATCCCAACAAAGCCCCGTATTTTGCTACGTAGCACATGAGGGTGCATTGGACCCCTCCAAATAGGAGGGGATTGTGGTCCTGTAAGGTGGTGTGTCAATTGATGTTTATTAGCCTCTCACCATTTGCTGTTGAGCACTGCGCTGCAATGTCCACGGCTGATTTCTCGAAGCCGACGACTACAACGCGCTTCCCTTTGACAAGCTCAACAGCACTTGTGTCATCCATGGCAGCGTAGTCCATGGAGTGTAGCACCTTGCCATGAAATGCTTCGGGGCCCTTATTTGGAGGAAATTCTGGAATGTTTGGAACATCACTGAACCTTCCCACACAAAGGATCACAAAGTCGACTTGGTAAACCTGCAAAAACAAAAAAGCAAAAAAAAAAAACCAACAGTGTCTAGTGTAACATTTTGATCCACAAAAATTATTCAGACCAGCAAGATGACATTAAAAAGTGCCTCATCTGGGAAGCTGCAGGACTTGGATTGACTCAAAGTCCTAACTCTCAATTGCCAATCCAAGCTTGGTATGTGCTCAAGTTTTTCAACTTAACTTCGAGCTAAAAATAAGATTGGAGTTTAGGATGACATCTACACAATAAGTAATCTTCTCAACACTCAAAAAATTGTACACTTCAAATTTTATTTTTATTTTTATTTTTTAGTGTTCGGCAAAAGTTGAGATTCAGTTCATTGGATGGGGCGTGTAAAATAGTCTACCAAAAATTAATGAATAAATTATTTTTTATTAGATTTTAATTTTTTTTTTTCGTAAGTATTTTACGACAACTAAACACCAGAAAACATTTAAAATATTTTTCAACGCTCAAACAAATGGAACCTTAATGAATGTATGTGCATACATATTTAGGTTATAATTAAGATTCAAGATAAGATTTGGGAATTAGTAGGTTAAGCATACCATGTCATTAGTATTAAGTTTTTAATTATAACACATTATACCTATTTGGAGATCAATTTCATCAAATAACATTTTTTTGATGAGTGAGTAGGGCTGCAACTTGAGCGGGCTAACCCCAGTCGAACCCAACCCCAACGTAGAAATTTTGAAATTTGGGCTTAAAATTCACAAATCGAACTCACGTTTGGGTTAGGTTTTGTCAAAACCCAAAATAATTTTTTTTTTTTTGTCTCCTCTCTCTTCTTTCTCTCTCTGTCGCCGCCGTCACTTCCAAAAATTAAAACAAAACCCATACATACAAGTTAGCAGTTGGAGAGAGAGAGAGAGAGGGGGGGGGGGGGGGGGGGGGGGCAAGCTTAAAAGTTGAGAGCCAGCGGCTGAAGCTTGCGAACTGGAACAGCGGGCGATGGAAACTGAAAGATATGGGTTTTGATTTTTTAAACAATCTGAAATGATATGCCGATATGGGTTTTGAACTTTTGATTCTTGCAAATAGATAGATAAACTGAAATATATGGGTTTTAAACTTCTAATTCTTGTAGATTTTGTAGTTTGCAGTTGCAGAGAGAGAGAGAGAGTTGAGAAAGAAACTAGAGATGGAGGCGATTGGGGAGGCTAAAATGATTTACCCTAAAAAAAATTTTATTTTTTTAATAATAATATAATCAAATAAATATAATATATATATAAATTTCTGAAAAAAAAGGAAATTTGTTTTTTTAAAATTAAAAAAAAAAAAAATTCAACCCGTCAACCTCCCGAATATTTTCAGGCTGCATTTTGATCATAAACCAATGTTGGGTATAATTTGGATTGGCCTAATTTAATTCAATTCAATTCGGATTGAGGTGAGATTGGACTAAATTAGGTTGGCCAGCCCAACTTGACCCTATGAATACATATTATACCCGAATCACCTAAATATCTCCTCACATTTATAGGACAATGATAGAGCCGATGCTCCTGTCCTCGCATAGGACAATGACAGAGCATTTGAAAATGATGCTCCTGAAAACAATGCTCGGAATGCTAGCTAGGGCAATAGTGATGGAGCATTTGAAAAGTATGCTCGGAACCGTGTGGCAGGAGCTTTGGCTCATCCATTCGTGGAGGTGTCAAAATTTAACAACATACGCCGAGGTGACGACAAGTGATTTTAGGTTTATATTAAATGGGTTTGAATTTTGCATCGTAAACTAATTAATACGTTTAATTAAATATCATGTTTGAGTTAAAAGAAAATAATTTAATTTAATTATATATGTCATAAATATATTTTTATTTAGATTTATTTCAATTGTTTTTTGGAGTAAGAAATTATATACCAATTTTAATTGTAATCTTAGGATCTAATCCTACGGTAATTAGTTAATTGGCTTTTATTTTCTTCATTTTAAAAAACTTATATTTTCTTTTCATACCATTAAATATCGTTAAACAAAAATGCTAGAATTAATAATTTATTAAAGGAAATAAAAATAAAATAATTTGGTTATTTTTTTGTTTGAGTTTCTCTGTCCAGTAAAAAAGCACTTCCCCATCACTACCAATTATTTATTCAACAAAGTTTATTCAACAAATTTGCAAGCAACAATAGAAACCAAATAAAATTAATCAGAAGAGATAAATAAAATGGCAATTAAATAAAAATTGCTTGAGAAGTGTTGATTATAATCAAAACTCAAATTTCAAGATTGATCCATGTTTTACACTCAGCTTAATAAAATATTTTTAATTTGTTTAACAACTAATTAAGAATTAGGAGACTACTATTGGTTTCATAAATTTTTTAGAAAAATCCTGCAAAACAACTCTTAATATATTATTATATATCCATTTAAATGTTCTCGGTGTTTTTTTTATTTTTTTGATAAATTAATTTATCAAATTATTGATCGGTAAAAACATGCTAAAATATGTATAATATCATTGCAAATCTTAAGTTTTTTCATAATTTAAGTGTGGAAAAAGAGTAAAAATGATGACTTTTAATTTAGATTAATTTTACTTCGTCTCAGTGGATCCTTGCAAATTTGACAAAAAGTAGCCAAATTATTTTATTCTTATTCCCTCTAATAAATTGTCTAATTCGGTAATTTTTCTTTAACAATAGTTAATGGTATGGAAAGAAAATGTAAGTTTCTTAAAATAAAGAAAATAAATTTTAATTAACTAATTGTCGTAGGATTAGATCCTAAGGCTATAATTAAAAGTGAGTATATAATTTTTTGCTCTCAGAAAGCAATTGAACATTACTGTTAGGTTTATAACTATTGAAACTTAAACTTATATTTTATAATTTATTTTCTTGTGAACTAGAGATTATTTAGTAAAAATTTGGTTGGAGTAAAATTTTATTTTATTTATTTAATATTTATTGTTAGATTGAGTGTTATTAATAATCTAAATAATATAATATTTAATTTAATAAATAAGTCATTAAGCGGGTAATACGTATAATTTGTTTAAAGAACAGACCAGGTCAGCAATGAGGATTCCTAACATAATTATTAAATGGGTCGTGTTCGGATTGACCAATTTAATATAATATTCTTAAATCGACACGATAAGATCATGACTCATAAATTTTCATGTATTGTTTTTTATTGTGCATATTTGTTGGACTAATTGATTAAAAATGTGGTGGGAATGTGATTTGTGTGTGTGTGTGTGTATATATATATATATATATATAGAGAGAGAGAGAGAGAGAGAGAGAGAGAACCCGCAACATTTTGTATATAGTTTAGTCATAATGAGTTGGTACTGACTATGATGAAGAGTCTAGAAAATTGAAGATGACTATAGTTACAGTGTTATGACCAAATAGCATATGGTAATTTCTTTTACTACTGCTAGTAACATGAATTGCCACTCCTGTATATCTTTTTCGGAATAAAATAAGTTGTAAAAAATAAAAAATTAAAATATTTTAAGAAGTAAATTACTCTTAAAAATTAACTAAAATTTGGGATGCAGAGAGAATTTAGAGTAACGTGGGGGGAAATTGAAATCCATACCTTAGTTTGAAGGGTGAGGGTGTCCTCTACTGTAAGGCTCCAATATTTACCTTTGGAGCTGAAGGGCTCACCTGTGCCACCCCACAGACTCCATGCTTGCATGTCGTCTTCTTCTTCTTCTTCATCTGATGGGCCTTCATAACTGATGCCGACCACTTTGCAATTGAAGCTGATGTGGCGGAGCAAATCAAAATGATGAGCGTATGATTGAAGATAGTCGAAGATTTGATGTTGGTTAGGAACTTGTTCGGTGACGGAGGTTGGCCATGAAAAATCCGAGAACTGGAAGAGAGGTTTGGGAGTCTGGAGCTTAGTGGCCTCCAGAGTTTTCCTCCACACTCCGCCAATGCTGCTTTGTGATTCAAACACCATTGGAACGAAACCCTTTGACACGGTGTATTTGCAGGCTAGAAGACCACTAACACCAGCTCCAATTATGCCCACCTTCCTCTCCATTGCTCAATCAATTATCTTCTTCTTAGAGGTCCATCCTTTATATATATAACTGTATCTATGTGATACACTGATATGCGTGCCTTAATTATACACCATATAGTATAACGTTATCTCAACAGCGACGGAAACAGCAAGGGCCAAGGGGCCCTGCCGACGTCTGGCGCTGGCCCATTAATTAATTATGCACACCCATATCATTCGTAAATTATTTCTTTTTTAATTTTCTTCAAATAAATTTAGATTTTTTTTCTTTAATCAACTCTATTTTTTTTGAACGGGTTATTTTCATTGTATATGTTTAAAGATAGTGATCAATGCTATGCATAATATTCCTACAACTCCATTTTTAGATAAGTAGGAATGTTTTTTTTTTTAGAAATTTTTTCAAAAAAAAAAAAGAGAAAGAAAAAAGAAAAATCAAACCGTATAGTATTCACTGGGTTCATTTATGTAACCATAATCAAATTAGCTGCCCAATATTAATTGTGAGTCAGTAGTTCATTTATATTAAGAAATTAACATACCCAATATTTAACCAACACAACTATTACATAATTCTTATACTACATATTCCACTACAATATCGTAAGTCTGTTTAGTTAAAAAAAAAAAATTTATTATTTATTTTAATCAAGTTCACTTTACCCCCCTTAGAATGAAATTCTAGGTCCCTCCTTAGACGGTCAACTATGCACATGATGCGTCCACGTATTAGGAGTGGCAATTCGTGTTCGTGGGTCATAATCGTGTCGTGTCGATATAAGGATATTTTACTAAATAGGTAAACTTAAACCCGACCCATTTAATAATCATGTCAAGAACCCTCAACACTAACCCAACCTATTTATTAAACCGGTTAAAATGACTTGTTTATTAAAACAAGATATATAATATTCGATCAAATAATAAATATTGGAAAAATTTTGTTACAATTAACCAAAATATTCAAAATAAAAAGAAAAGTTATAAGGCGTAATTAAGATTTATGTTAAAACGACTTAGCTATCCATAATAACTTGACTTAAATATGTAATATATTACATAAATCAAATTCATGATTATGACATGTTGAGTTAAACGGGTATAAACGGGTTACTCGTCTTGAACCCTCTCAACCCTAACTCGACACGATTAAGTAAATGGGTTAATTGTGTCAACCCGTTTATGACCCAAATCCGTTTAAGATCAATTCAAACTCGCTTATCTCGTGTCATGTTCGAGTCGTGTTGACAGATCGTATCGTAATTTGCCACTCTTACCGCGCGCGTGTATATATATATATAAAGTATGTTCTTATTTTCTTTTTGAAAAATGATTGAATTCCAACTTGTTACGAACTGACATGAAAATTATTGAACTAAACATACTGAGACTCTCAGAGAATTAATATACTTTTCATTATTGTATAAAAGTTCTTTTTGGACACTGTTTATTGGACTCACACTCAAATTTTGTAGCACTACTCCTTTCTCTCTCTCTCTCTCTATTTTTTTTGGATTTTGGATATGGTTTTTTGTAATAGTTATCTTTATTTTTATTATATATATAATGTACGAGATAAAATTAGAACATTCACTCCCCAAGTTATTCCAATACAAAGACAGAAATTTGAAGATGCTTTTCTGTCGCAGCTGTTAAGCTTGTTCTCGATTTTGGACCTTCTTTGGTAAGGGAAGTGTAATGCACAAGATATAAATGGAACATTCATTCTCCAAGTTATTCTAAACCAAAGCCAGCAATTTGAGGGTGCTTTTCTTTGGCTATTGTGTGTTAGCTTATTCCCGATTTTTGGCCTTTTTTTGGTAAGAGAAGGGTAATGTACGAGATACGATTCGAATATTTACTCTCCAAGTTATACTAATACAAAGCCCTCGATTTTGGACCTTTCTTTGATAAGAGAACAGTAGTGCACGAGATATAAATGGAACATTCATTCTCCAAGTTATTCTAAAAAAAACCTACTTGTTCCCTCTTTTGGGTCTTTCTTGGTAAGAGAATAGTAATGAACGAGATGCAAATGGACCATTCACTCTTCAAGTTATTGTAAAGCAAAGCCATCTATTTGAAGCAAGGAGATGTTGCTTTTCTTCCATGAGTGTGTTGACACATGCATGTGTGCTTGATCCTAATTTTGGGTTAAGTTTTATTATCTTTATAAAACACTAACATTAGATAATAAATAAATAAAAATAAGTCCAATCAATGATATCACACATTTCAGACTTATATTTTGTAAATTCTAGAAATGAAATGATATCACACATTTCAGACTTATATTTTGTAAATTCAATTTGAGCTTAGCCAACCGTTCAATCTGCATCCCAAGGACGGAGTTAATGAAGGCCTAGGGGAGGCACGTGCCCCCTGAGTTGGTCAGCAACCTATAATATATGTGGTAATTTTTTAAAAAAATTTTATGAAAAAATTTATATAATGTCCCCCTTAAATTTGTAGTTCCTAAAATTATATTCTTATTTTTTTCTTTTACTCTTCACATTCCTTAAATTTCCTTAGTAGAAAAAATCAAATTTTTCTTCCTCAATTGAAACTTTTTAACTATTTCCTATTAAAATTCTTTCATTTTTCTTTCCTTTTATATTTTAATAATTTTCTTCTTCTTTATCTTTTTGAATTTTATAGTTGTTATATATATATATATGTATTCCGTATTATTATTATTATTATTATTATTGACAGTGTGCCCCCTCACTTGAAATTCTGGCTTCGTCACTGCTACATCCTAGAAATGAAATTCCAATTTTTTTTTATTATTTTTTGAACAGTTAAGGAAATGTATAAATATGAACATAAAGAATACACTGGCCCAAGGGCCAAGGAGACAGGCTTTAGAAAAGGAGGCCATGGCACCCAAGGCTGAAAGGCTGCCCAAACACAAAAGAGAGAACCTTAATCACTAAAAATGGAGAAGAGCCCAATCACAGGCCCATCAGATAATTAAAAAATCTAACATTTGTATAATTGGATTCCTCCGATGGGCTTTTCAGTTGTGTAAGAGCTCAGCCCCATCAATTCCTTCCAACTAGAAGGATGAGTGTAAAGAAATTATATGTGATGATGTAACAAACACTAAACTTGAATTTTCAATAAAATAATTACTAATTTGCTTAAAATTTTATTGACCTTGGTATAATATGCTTAGGAGATAAAAATTTAAAATAATAATAAAAATAAAAATTTATTGACCTTGTTTGCTAGGAAGAATATGAATCAATTGATTAGGCGCACCTTGTATTATACATAAATTGTCACAAAACGAAGTACAAGAGAACTTCATGTTTTGATTTGACTATTTTTTAAAGCCAAGAAATAGAAATGAAAATGGGATTAGAAGGATGATTATCACGATCACACTAATAAAAATCGACTCTTCTAGTAAAAGTAATAAGTGATTTACCAAACCAATTGTTAGCCAAACTACTAAAATTTTAGATATGATTACATAGCTCTCCAAGCAAGAAAGTAAAATTGAGTTCCCAGAGTTCTCCAGATAATTTAGGTTTATATATCAATAAAAAAAAATTAAAAAATGGAGAACAAGAAATTCAATTTGAATCCCTAAAATATGAGGAGAGAAATATGTGAAAAAGGATTTTACTGATTGAATTAGTTTTAAAAAAAAAAAAAATTAGTGAATTAACATAATGCTTCATAATCACACAAATGCAATGATGCACCATCACTACTAATTAAAACACCCAAGGAAAACATACTTCATTGAAAAGTATAACACTTAGTCCAAATCAACAAAATTGATGTTATGGTTAGGATTGGAAAATTCCAATCACAAATTTTCGATGATATTGTAGTTGGACTCTATTTATTATAATCGCACAAAAAAATCAATCAAACATTATAACATTGGGGGAGAACTTTAAAGGCTTGATGTGACAAGGGTCATTTGTCTCATATCAGATTCAGCTAGAAAAGTGATTGGGTATAAATGGGTATGCAGTACTAACCAATAGTTTGAGCTTTTGAATAAATAGGCAAGCACCCACCCATTATAGTTAGTATCAAAGCTAGACTCGATCCTTGGTCTGATACCAGGCCAAACTCTTGGCCCGGAAGGTGTCCGGGTAACTCACCCGGGTAAACAGAGTGGTCCGAGCCACAACGAGTTACGAGTATAGGTTGAGGAGAATGTAACAAGAGTCATTTGCCCGCATCTAATTCGAATAAAAAAATAATTAGATAAATGAATATGCGTTCATCCATTACACATGACCTTTTATTACTCTGATACTAAATCGAAGTTAGGTTAAGTATGATTGAAGCAACTAAAAGAATTGGCAGCCCCATAGGTCGGTGTTGGTGCCCCATTTGATCTAAGTCCCAATCCATGGGACCATATACAACTAAATAATTTTACAAATCGTTTTCATCACGATCCCAGATCCACATATAATGCTATTTATTTCCCAAAATTGCATTCATTATCAACCTCAATATCTCACTCTTTCAGTCAGACCAGTGGTTCAACGAGCCCTTCTAAACTCAAATCTCTAATTTTTATTTCTCATCTTCACATTTGTTTATTCGGATTTATAAAAGTTCCTGAATCATAAATAAAATTCAATGCCCAACATTATGATGCTTGGGCATTATGATGCTTCTTAGTAAAATTTATATATATATATATATATATATATATATATATATATATAGATATATAAGTATATAATTTGTATGCCTCGAAAAAAATGTGATATATTAGGGTAACGTGCAAGACAATGAAAAAACGTACACACAAATTTATTTTTAATTTTTCCCAGCAAATTGTAGTAAGCTGATTAAACCTAAAATAAAGTATTGAATCCTTAACTCCACCCTTTCCTTAAGATACCGTATATATTTTAAATATTTTTTCTTGGAGATGTTAATTACGCTGAACCACACTTGATCTAGTGTAATTTGGGGAGTTTAAATTTTTTATAGTTTCAATCAATGTAAAATGAATCATTTTTGTTTTTATTTATTTATTTATTTTTATAGTATTATAATTAAAATTGTCAAGAGAAATGCTATTGTTATTTGGGGATTTGATGATTATGAT